GAACGAATAGTCATTCCTTAGGTATGCATGCTTCATCGTCATCCATCAGGTGACACGGAGGTCAAATACACTATATCTAAATACATTAAAACACGAAACAATAAGTATGTAACCTTTACAGAAACGTGGTGTAACATGTATTATTTTAGGCCGTGACACGGCTGTTATTCAGTTTTCCTGTTTACAGAAAACAAAGTAGTGCACGTCTCTAAATTTAAAAAAACGTAATCGCACTTGCTAGACGTGTTTTTTTACATGTGTTTTATACGGAGTATCGCAAGTAAATGAATACTCTAAATACACCTTTCTTCATAAACACTTAGTTGTGTAGGCATCCAATAATATGAAGTCAGTTAAAAAATACACATCGTCTATACATCGTCTGTTAAAATCATACACTGCAAAATTAATTTGATGCGACTGCCTTTTGTTCAGGCGGTTCACCGCACCCCACGGCCTTCGACGAAGGTACAGCCAGCACAGAATCAACGTCATAGCGTCATGTCTGTATCATAAATGTTCTCGTTTCATTCAACTGAAACGTCGCAGTCCTCCCCCCGGCAGTGCAAGTTTCAGTTGCGTCACGAATGGTAACCTCTATCATGGTAAATAAAACGAAATTTTTATATACACGTTTAACGCTTTATTTGTACGTAATAAATACATTTGAAGCAATTTAGATACTTTATATGTCGATGTCAGTCCGTCGTACCTACACTTTACTAAATTGAAACTAATTTAACAGCTCGGAAGCGAGTACTGAATGTTTCTTTGTAAGCTATTTCTTCCTCAGGGTGTAAAGATTGGTGAAATGATGACTAACTTGTAATTTCTGGGTGAGACGGACCAATTTGTTAAGGCATTAAAAAGTGAAGCGGTCGAATTGTCAATTTCTTTTGATTTAGTCGAGTTTGCGACAGGAGCGACATCAGCATGTAGATTCATATAATGGGTTACACTATAACATATGCACTATTTCGATTATAATATCGAATGTACAGAGGAGCACTCCATTGAACACTTACTCGTCATAACAAAATACAGTTTGTTAGGAAAGGGTGAAACATATTAAAAGCGGCCCGGCCTTTGTCAAGAAATCACGAACACTTCCCGGACAAGGTAAGATCTGACAACACGTCGCTTATACGGAAAGTCTATATTTTTTTGTGATCTTTTGCACGCCATCCAACAATTGGTGATATTTCGCCCTTTTCGAACACGAGAGTACGATAACTATTATTTACGTTAATAAAGCTACCCATACTTAACATTCAATAAATGCTTTGCATTACTTTGACTAAAAAAATAACATTTAGAAACAACAGATGAAAAAATTGTGGTCACTTAAAGACGATTCATATTTGAAAGGTTTCATAAAATATTGTTGCATAAATGTTGACACGTCGTTTCCGATAAATTCACTTTATACTTACTCACAAAATATATCAACGTATCTACAGCTAGAAATATCGCACATAGATTCGTGGCACTCGATCAGCGCGGGCGGGAACCGAACCGTTTCGTTTGTTGCAAAGAATATATGCGCCCTCAGGATCTACTAACAGGGTGTAAAAGACTAAACAATAAAGGCCGGCGTGGAAACAGAACGAATGACGTATGCGCGAGATAATACTCGTGAATGTCGCAGACGCGGGAGGCCTGTCGCCGGGAATCCTGCCGCTGGCTGCGGCCGCACCGCGGCAGCACGGCGATTTTGGTGCGCGGCTTTACGGTTGCAATACGTCCGCTTTCATTCCAGCCTATATAGTTCTTTATAGTTTAGTAATTGAGCATGCCCATCCGCCGTGCGCTCCTCTTCCTACTATTTCCCAAAACCGCGTTTTAAAGTGCCCACGTTCATACGAACAAACAAAATTACATGGGACAATCCCTACACGCCTACACGATGCAGGTTCAAATCTCCAAAACGCTTTGAGTGAATATTTGGCAATGGAAAACGCTAACGAACCGCTTTAACAATGTCAAATATATAGTCGCGCTTAGGAAATAATTTTACATCGGTTTACCCTTCCGACAAATTAACGACTAAACGTTCTTTATAAAAGCTAAAAGTCTTAATAATAACAATTTTGCATGGACGAGGATAATGTTGAAAAATAATGTACTCTATTAACAATTATTAGACACCCTGTACGAAAACATAATTCGGAAGTAACAACATCGACCGTAACGCCAATGGGAGAGACTAAATTTAGGTAAATACACTGACGTATTTCGTTTATCACAGAAGACACAAGGTAGCGAAATCAGGAAATTTTAATTGTAGATTTTCTGGTAATTTCTTTTGTATATAATTGTCATTTTATTCTAGAAATGTACAAAAAACGACAGGAGCGCCTCGGGGAGCGATTATATTTGTCGAACGCGACTGCGCTGCTACGTTTCGGCGACGGCAAAATTGCGCGAACACGCTGCGAATGACAGTAAAGTATTCTTAGCACTACAGTAATCTCTGCAAAAATCTCTCGTAGTAGCTAAACTTATATAAATCTTGTCCATTTTAAATACTGATGTAATCACGTGTAATCACGAATGTTCAGCAAGCGGCCGGTGGCCGGTGGCCGGTGGCCGCGCCTCCGCCGAGCGTTTCATTGAAGGAAAATTAAATAATTGCCTGGAAATCGTTATATTACCGCCCTTCGGTACCCTCAATACGGCAGTAAATACTAATTGTGGAACAGCATTAATATGAGTCCTGTCAAAATGAGTTTCAGTCGAGCGCACAACAGAGACGGCTTATTGTTTTCCTATCTAAGTAGTTTTGTGCAATACTCGTTTGTCATTGGTAACACTCGTATGGCGTTTCAATAACCTATACTTGTAACTTAAACCGCGTCGTTCAACTGTGACGTCACACTCTTTTACTATATTGTGACGAGTCCACGGAGCGAACCACGTATTTCCTTTTGATATAAATATAGGAATCGCAGATTTAGATCGAGGCCGAGTTGACAAAATATAACGAGCCAAATGCTGTGCCATTGCAACAAAAGTATTCTGAGACAAGCAAACTCAATTTCGCTCCGTGTACACGTTTCAACTGAACGACGACATCCCGCGGGCGCCGACAAGTCGCGTGCGTCCTCGTGTCGCGCCGCCCCGCGCCGCGCCGGGGCCTAGTGCGGCGCGTGCGGGTTGTACGGCGGCTGCGCGGCGCCGTGCTTGGCCGCTCCCACGACCTGGTCGTACGACGGCGGCAGAGCTGCAACGGCGGCAAGCCACAGGTTAACTCCCTCGTTAGAGGACGCGACGTTTGCTATGAAACCTCGCATTTATTTTTTCAGAAATAACGTTTTTTCCAATTTTCATTACCCCGAAAACCGAATTATAACGTAACCGTTGTTCTCTCAGGATATGTTGGATCTTTATCGCGAAGACACGATTAGGTTCGGTGAGGTTAGGTTGAATTATGTTTAAAAGAAAAACATTTTCCTCTCAAAATTACTTTGGGGGTCATAGAAATTCGAGCAAACGTTATTTCTGAAAAATATCAGTTCGGACTTCTGATAGGTAACCTGATAGAACGCATGCGCAATCGATCGATTTGAATAAAACGTCGATTGGGATAAATTCAGCCGCAGGTTTACGTTATGCCATTTAACTAGTAAACAAACAAGCATCTTGTCATTAAAATATGATAGATAACGAACACAAACTGACTGATAAGCACCTACTCGAGCATGCGTACGCAGAAACGACCACGAAAAACATGTGCTGGAGCCAATAAACGTTGCATCGGGTGTTTAAAAAATGTCTAATGATTCCGCGGACAGACGACTGTTGTCGCACACAACTAAGCAGGTTAAACTATTTATCAACTTTCGCCGTCGCCACGGTGCGGAACATTAGACAATTCATTTTTTTAGCATTCATATTAAAATTCGACACTGGCACCATTATCTCAAGGTCAAAAATAAGTTACCAACATTTACTGACTCGCGAGCATCATAGTTAAGCTTTTTTTTACAAAATAAAAATGCCCTTAATCTACCAAAGCAAAGGAGAGCCACAGCTTAGGGCTGAATCTGCAGCAGTGATCCGCTTTGGCGGATGATGGGCCTGGCAGCCAACACCGAGACACAGCATACAAGTACATGCAAATGGTTAATTAAGGAATGAATTTGTTGACAAATGACAGACAGACTGACAACAAGGTGAGACGCACCTCGCGTACTCCAGCCGGGCGGCGGCACCGCCATCGCCAGCGGCACCGGCGTCGACGACGGCAACGCGCCGTAGAACATCGCTGTGTGCATTCGTTACAATGTACATTCCCCATGCACCGCCACCGCGGGTTAATGTTGTTATTACTGTACAGATCGCCATACGTGTTCTAGTTCGGTGGAGTAAAACCGATAAAGATAAACAAACCGCTCCTTCGACGCTTGCCTTAAAATTGGACACGGTCACCTGACCGTAACGGAACATTTATGATCCAATGATCAAAATACTGGTTTTAATTTCACCAAACTAGAGCACATTGATAAGTGTTATTATATTATAAAGCCCAAATCGTTAATTCTGAAAACAATGATAATAACTTTAAGGCAGTGGCTACTTAAGTATAGTCTGACGCTTTGTCGACGAGGCGTTTGTGACACCGTGTGTCAGAGGGCGACAAAGTGTTCAAAGGTACGAGGAGACTGTGTTACATATGTACATCGGATTGTAGTAAATGATGTGAAGCGTGAGGCTCATTATGATATCAAAGCGGTAAACGACCAATAACATAGCACTATTGTGACCTAACTTTGCTTAGTGAAAACAACGAAAACCTATTCTCTTCATCCTCTACTTTGGTTGTTCTGTCAAGGCTCAATGAGCGGATTACTTTAGCTAGATTCACTTCGTTAAAGTTATTTTTTTTCGGTGTAGCATAATTCAAACGAATGTAACAATTTGAAGTTTTGATTAAATTTACGATCACATTCAACAGGTGTGTCACCGTAACCGCAAACTCTCGTGACGCAGGCTGAATCCGGACAGCTAAACATCATATTCATCATCAACTAATATTAATTAAGAGATTGCTCAAACTAACTCGGTTCAATATTTCTATCCGTGTAGTTCATATATCTGTCCTGTTTCATTGAATAAATAAAATAAAAAATCATAACAATCGGTTGCTCCGTTTCGAAATTAAAGTAGACACAAACAAACAAATAAAAAGGCAACAGACACAGTTTCGCATTTTAATAGTTATTAGTATTCCTAGATGGGTAATTTTCGTAGATAATAGACCACGGGCAATCATGTTCTAAGAAGTTTTTGTTAAATAATCCGATTTGTGCATTCCTGTATCAATCGGCTGGTTCATTGAATACTTGTTCTAACTTGTTGAGTACGATTGAGCGTCGAATGAGATAAACGAGTTTATGCATGATTGTCTTATTCCTGAAAAGGGTTGTAACCCTAACTAGCCGTGAACAGATTCACGGCAATGAAATGGGAAACTTCCGGTCCACAAAATTTATATTTAAATTTAACGTTTAAAGAAAGGCTGTAACAATATAAAGGCAAATGTAAAAAAACAGTTATAGCAGTATAAAACACTCCCTACACTTTATTATTAAGGCACTTACCCCTAAATGGGCCGAGAAAGTGAATTACAGAAATAGATACATGAAGGGTGTAGACTTATAAATTGTTACACATGATTAGCTTATTAACAGCTCCGACTGTTGTGGCGGTCGAGCTGGGAGTGACCGTGGTACGAAAACAAAATGAGAAAGTGAAGGAAGATGGAACAATTCAAATTTAAAAAAAAATTATAAGATACAAGAGGAGAGAGGCGATACAAAGAGGTGAGATGACGGTGTAAGGAGGTCACACCGTCACATTCCTGTCGGTGCGTGCTGTTTATGCAATCCTATATAAACAACGTAATATTTATTTTATTTTCATTTGCGGTTTCGCGCGTAATAGATAAGCAGTACTTAAGTTCAACACTTACGTATTTCTCAAAACAAAACAATGTCGGAAGTAAAAAAGAAGAGACGGCAATACTGGGCGGAATATATTAAATTCGGATTCATTGAAAATCCTACAAACCCATCGTCGCCTTTGTGCCTTCTATGTCTAAAAACATTTTGAGAAGCAATGAAGCCTTCAAGACTGCAAGATAACTTGAATAAAATGCATCCAAATAAGAAAGATAAGAATGTAGCATATTTTCAAGACCTAGAGAAGCATAATACTCAGTCAAGTGTAGCAAAACTCTTTTCGGCGGCTGCTAAGCAAGATGACGACGGACTTCGAGCTTCGTACAATATCTCTTTGTTAATTGCTCAAAAAGGCAAACCACACAACATCGGAGAAGAGTTAATTTTGCCAACAATAAAGGAAGTAATAACTGCTGCGCTTCATAAACCGGCCGCAGATATTATCCGAAAAATTCCTTTGAGTAATAATTATGTGCAAAGACGAATTGATGAAATGGCTGAAAACATTGAAGAGTCATTGTGCAATCATCTGAGGACTAGTCAATTCTCAATTCAGCTCGATGGGTCCATTTTACCAACTAATGAAGCATTGTTGTTGTCTTACGTGAGGTTTATTAAAGATGAGAAAATATGTGAAGAACTATTGTTTGCTAGAAATTTAGAGACCGATACAATAGGCGAAACCATATTCAATGCATTGGAAAAGTTTTGTGATGAGAAAGAGATTCCATTGAAAAATATTATATCAGTTGCTACGGATGGTTCTCCGGCTATGATAGGGTGCCATAAAGGATTCATAGCGTATGTAAAAAATAAAATTCCAAATGTCCTTGCTGTACATTCATAGACAACATTTGATTACTAGAAATTTAAATGAACGACTATTTCAATCACTGCAATATGCCATCAAAGCAGTCAACAAAATTCGTAACAGCTCTTTGAATGTTACATTACTTCATCAGCTTTGTGTTACTAATGACGAAGATTTCAACCGTTTGTTGTTTCATACTGAAGTTCGTTGGCTATCAAGAGGCAATTGTCTGACTCGATTTTACAACCTGTTTCACTTTGTGATAGAGTTCTTGGAAACTAAAGATACAGAATTGCGCAACAATCTCATTACATCAAAGAATGAAATAGCTTACATGACAGATCTGTATAAATTGTTCAACGACCTGAATCTCCAACTGCAAGGCGATGAACTAAATTTAATTAAAGCAAAAAATGTCGTTGCTGCTTTCGCAGCCAAACTGCTTCTACAGAAAAAGAATATGGGCAGACGTGAGTTTCACAATTTTCCGAATTTATCAATATCCTGCAGTAACGACGACTTGCTTGCCTACTGCCAATATTTGGAAACCTCCACATTGACCTCACCGAACGATACCAGGACATTTTGAACTTGGAAATACCAGACTGGGTGTTGGATCTGTTTTTAAATGTCAACACAGCAATATCACCTCAGCTGACAGAAATACTTATAGAATTGACAATGAACGAGGAAATAAAAATCAAGTTCAAAAATACCTACCAAGAATTTTGGCTACAGAAACCGATCCCGCAAATGTACCCTGGATTGTGGTCAATCGTTCAACGATTCTTGACAGCATTCCCATCGTCATATTTGTGTGAACGTGGTTTTAGTGCTGTGACAACGCTGCTTACTAAAAAGAGAAATCGTTTGCATGTTACCGAACGTGGTGATTTGCGGCTGTTCTTGAGTAAATTGGAACCTGATACCAACAAACTTATTAAACAGCATCAGATTCATCCTTCACATTAGTTTTTATATTAGAATCGATTATGTTTGTTTTATTTTGAATAAAAGATACTCTGTCTGAATACTATAAAGTTGCGTTTCAATAATCATTCTCATTGGCAGGTGTAGCCCGCAAGAGTTAGCTTGAGACGCGCCGTTGTGTACTACCTATTGCGCTCAGGTCTCAAGTTAACTCTTGCGGGTTCTAGTAAAAGTCTCGTTTAGAATGAATGTTTAATCTCCGCTAATATAGCTTACAGTAATTAATTTAATTTGAAGTTATAGTGGTTTTTAAGTAGGTGAAAAAATAGGGTCGCTAAAAAATAATTTATTCTCAAAATGGGCAGTAGACAAATAAGTTTGGGAACCCCTGGTTTAAAGGATAGAGTCTGTTCAACGTCGAGTGGTAGCGTAAAGATATAAAACTACAAATTACGTAAAAAACTTTAGGTTATTTTTTATTTTTTGGTGAAAGAAAATGTTTAACGAAACTGCCCTTTAAAAAAACAATAACAAAATCTAGTCATGTTGCTACCTTGTCGTTTTAATTAATGTCTCAATTTGATAAATAGTCGTTTTGCTACCAAATCATTACAAGTGATAGTCTTTCTGCAGAGGTGGTCGTTTAACGATCTAGTCCTCGTGCTGATCAGGTCTGAAGATATAATCATCATGATACCGACCCCGATTACTGAGATGTCTAAGTGTAAAATGCGGACTTCGGCGCAAACATCAGGTGGAGTGGAGTCATTTGCCTGTCAGGTATAAAAAAAAATAAATAAATAAAAAAAAAACTGCCTGATCCTCTGATCGCTCTAACATCAATGTTTTAAGGCACCTACTTGGTCTGTGCGTATCCCAGTCGTTTAGTTTGCCACTGACTAATACAACGTTTCACACAAAATGGACCACTACGGCGAATGAGCCGATCGTCATATACAGGGTGTTTGGAAGGTCGATGCAAAGCCTTAATGTGAAGATAGTATAGACTATTTAGAAGCATTTTAGGTAGGGTTGTCTAAGACGAAGTCTAAACATTTTTTTTAATTTAAATTTTAAAATTTTTTGAGAAAAAGCCAATAATTTTAGAGGTATGGGCTAATAAAGACCAGCTCAAATAATAACTCAATTATTTTTTATTTTATTTCAATAAAGTAATGTGCACACAGTCTAATAAAACATGTTTTAAGCATCTGTATCGTGGGAAATATTTTTTACAGGCTTTTAAAGTTTACGAAAATGATGAATAATTAACGAAACCGGTTTTTTTACGTCATTTAAAAAAAAACGGCAGGTGGTGTTTTTGTTCAAACACTTTTAAAAACATGCTTGGTTATTGCTGTTTCTTTAAGGTATCATTTATGCAGATACGTAATAAATTATTGAAATTGGGACCTACAAACCAAATTGAGAAAGAAAATTATTTTTCAAACCAGTCGAATAAAACATAATTTTTAGTCATTTAACTTATTTTTTAGTTGGAAATGATAACTGAGAGCAACTCTAACACTTATTGCGCACGTGTACAATAATCGTAAGGTATCG